CCCCAGAACGTTTTTTCACTGTCTCGGGACTCAGACACGGCCTCCAGGCCAAGATAGAGGAAAAACGCCTGCATGGAAAGTTGACCTGGCGATGGGAGGCTGTGGGGCAAGCACGCAAAGTCATGCTGAACTCCCTGTGGGGGCACTATCCTCGTGAAGGGTGTGCTGACATGGGCTGAGTCCCGCGTGCGAATGCGTACACTGGGGCCGTCAGTGGAGCTCATGTGGGGCACGATGTGCGTGAGGAGGGTGCCGAATTGGGCGGGGCATCGCATACGAACAAGCCTGGGGTCGTACGCGGAACACCCTGTGGGGTACGGTCTGAGAGAGGGGCGCGCCGAAGCGGGCAGGAGCCTGCATGCGAAACGCAAAACTAGGGCTACAAGTGGAGCTCCCTGCGGGATACGATCCGTGCAGATGGTGCGCCAAACTGGGCGGGTGAAATCTCCCACATGGGCCAAAGGTGAAGCTCCCTGATAGGCGGACGAACTCGAACCCTCCTAGCGGGGCCCTAGGAAGAGCGTCCTGTGGGGCACGGTCCGCGTGAGGGGTGCGCCGAAGTTGGCGAGGGATCGCATGCGACCACACCAATGGAGCCGTAGGTGGAGCTCCCTGTGGGGCACGATCCGAGTGAGGGGTGCGCCGAAATGTGCAATGGATCGCATACGTTCCTCTCCCAATGGGGCAACTCCCTGTGGGGCACGATCCGTGTGAGGGTGCGCAGGTGCAAACATGAGCGGGAGAACGCATGCGACACCCTCCCCACGGAGCCGTTGGTGGAGCTCGCTGTGGGGCACGATCCGCGTGACGGATGTGCCGAATGGGGCGGGGCATCGTACGCTAATCCCCGCATTCGGGCCGGAAGTGGAGCTCCCACGGTGGGGCCATACGCGGAGCTCCCTGTGGGGCATGATACGTGCGAGGGGTGCGCCGAAACGGGCGGGGGAACGCATGCGGACCCTACCACTCGGGCAGGAAATTGAGCTCCCTCTGGGGCACGACCTGCGCGAAAGGGCGCGCCGAAAACGGAGAGGGGCGAGGGCAGGAGAGAGGTGAACGTTTTTTGTCCCTCCGGGGGAAAAGGGGGGGGGGTCGGGCGGGAGGGTAACGGTAACGGCGGCCGCGGCGTGAACCCGCCAGGGTGCGTCCGCGCCCCTGGCACATCAATCGCCCGCGTGCACCACAGCCCCTGCGTACACGACGATGCCAAATGCCTGCGAGCACACCGCCGCCTGCGTACACAGCAATCCCTCCGTACACCGCCACAGCCGCGTACACTGCAGCACCACGTCGCCTATGTACACCGCAATGCCTGTGTAAACTGCAGCTGCCGTGTGCGCAACAGCGTCTGCGTACACCTCGTTGCCTGCGTGCACCAGAGCGCTTGTGCACACCACAACGCCTGTGTAACCACAACAACCATGCTTACCGTAGCGCCTGCGCGCGCTACCTTGCCTCCGTGCACAACAACGCCTGTGTACACCAGAAAGCCAAACGTGCTAACGAGCACATCAGTAGATTAGAAAGAGCGTGTTCTACCGCTGCTGGCGGAAAACCGGGGGGGGTCACTACCGGTTCGAACCCCTCAGCCCCCCAACCAACCCCACCCATCCCGCCCCCGCCGCCCCACCCCGCCCCCCCCCCTCCCGAAAACCGGGGGGGTCACTACCAGGTTTCGAACCCCTCCCCCCCCCCCCCCCCTGCTGATCTAGAAAAGGGGGGGGGGTCCTACTAACCGTTCGACACCCCCCCCCCCCCCCCCCCCCTCCGGATCCGGAAAACCGGAGGGGGTCACTACCGGTTCGAAACCCCCCCTCCCCCTCGAAAACCGAGTGGGGGTGCGGACAGTGGTGGGGACGGTGTTGGTGGGGGCAGTGGTGAGGGGATAGCGGGACAGTGGTGGGGACAGTGGGACAGTGGGACAGTGGTGGGGACGGTAGTGGTGGGGACAGTGGTGGGGACAATGGTGGGAACAGGGGGGGACATTGGACAGTGGTGGTGACGGTGGTGGTGGGGACAGTGGTGTGGGGACAATGGGAATGAGGTGGAAACAGTGGGACAGTGGAGGGTACAATGGTGGTGGGGACAGTGGTGAAGGCGGTGGCGAGGACGGCGGTGGGACAATGGGACAGAGGTACAGTGGGGACAGTGGTGGGGACAGTGGGGACAGTGGTGGGAACAGTGGGACAGCTCAGTGGGACAGCGGAGGAGTCAGTGGGACAGTGGGGACAGTAGGGATAGTCGGGCAGTGGTTGGGGCCGTGGAGACAGTGGGGAGAGTGGAACCGTGGTGGGAACAGTTCTGGGGACAGCGGGGACAGTGCGACAGTGGTGGGGCTACTGGTGGGGACAGTAGGGGCGGTGGTGGAACCAGTGGGAACAGCGGTGGTGAGGACAGTGGTGCTGGGAACACCAGTGGGGGATGTGATGCGGACGGTGGTGGGGACCGGGAGTCGTTTGCTGGCGGTGAGTAGGGGGGGGGGGGAAAGGGGAAGGGGGGGTGCGAACCGGTAGTGGCCCCCTCCAGTTTTCCGGATCCGTCGGGGGTGGGGGGTGAGGGTTCGTACCGGTAGTGACCCCCCCCGTTTTCGAGCGGGAGGGGGGGGGGGGAGGGGTTAGGGAGGGGGGTTTTGCCGGAGAAGGGGGGGGGGGGGGAGGTTTCCAGCAGGGGGGAGGGATTTCGGAGGGGGGGGGGGGCGACCCCCGGGTTCCGGAGGAAAAGGTTGGCAATTTTCCACAGTAAAGCGGCGGTGGATCACGCTCTCTCGTAGATTACGAGGCCTCCTTGCGGGGTTCGCCACAGACCGCGGAGGCCTTCAGGACTCGTCATTCATCTCCTCCTCCTCCTCCCCCTCCTTCTCCACCTCCTCCTCTTCCTCCTCCTGCACCTCCTCCTACGTCCTCTTCCGCTCCTCTTTCAACGGTCCTGGCGGCCTTCGCTGAGGGAGGGGAATACGGATCAGGGGGAGGAGCAGCAGGAGGAGCAGTAGCAAGAGGCACAACAAGAGTCCCACGATGGGGTCGACAACGACGCTTGAATTCAGGCACCCGTGCTCCCCCCGCAATGCTTGCACTGATGCTGACACCGGTAGGACCGCACAGGGTGCATCGCGTGCCCCGCGCGTCAAGAAAAACGCAACACTGCTTGGGGCCCACGTGCGCCAACGTGTTCTTGCTCGTCATCGGTGCCCCGACCCGCCGCCCTCCGTGGAGGGCACCTTGGCAGCGAGCCCGCCTGACCTATGCGCATCGCAGTAGCCTGCAAGCGCCACGACATGCACAGCACGCGTGTGAGCACCGAAGCATGCTTCTCGGCACCACGCCATGCCTGTGAGTTCGGCGCCGCAGCAGGTGGGGAGCCTGCGAGCGCCACAACACGTTTATGAACACCAGAGCATGCCTTTCAGCACCACGCCATGCCTGTGAGCACAGTCTGCCCCCTAGCATGTAGGGGGGTTGTCCAGGCCCCCCCAGCCCAGTACGATCGTTGGGGTTACCCGGGGGGGGGCAGGTAACGAGCGTTACGACGGGGAGGATAACAAAAACGCTCATAAGAGGAGGCTGGCGGAGGATGAGAAAAAAGATGAGGAAAAGAAGGAGGAGGAGGAGGCGGACCCGTGTAAACCCAAGATGCATCAGCGATGTTGCAATCTGCTCTTCGTAGGTCCCGGAGATGAATGTGTTTTCATTGCGGGAGGTGGCCCATTAGAAGGGAACCATCTGAGAACCCTGAACCGTGCCAAAGCACCGCTCCTACTGTAGGACTACTTCGACGCCGCGGGTCAACCTGACTGCTGCGTCGTGACAATCCAAATTTGCACCAACACACCTTTCCCGGGACTTCAACACCGCGAATAAACGTGACTGTTGCGTACGGGCTACCCTAAACTTTGGACGCCCGAGATGGGTACGGAAAAAATACTACAATGCCCAACAACAAATGTTGTCCCAATTCGACAGCGGCCGCTGTTGGACAGGCGGCCTTCCGTCTCACATGGACACAGGCCGCGGCGGCGCGGACAGCGAGACCTGTTCAAAGTGAACAGGAACTGCTGTTGAACATTGTACCCATTCTTTCCGTGCCCATCTCGTTCGTGCAGATAAACAATAGAAACACACCAACATTGGGACGTCCGCCATACGAACCTCTGAAACATGTGTCAACTGTTCAAACGACTGTGCGCGGCGCTGCGGGAAGAAACACCTTTTGAACAAGACCCGCCCTCCATCCTGGAAGCTGCCGCAAACTTGTAAGACAAATGCGCGCGGCGGTAAATCACAAATTGAAACAACCAATCATCCATCCGTGAGACTACTGCGATCCTGTAGGACGAATGTGCGCAGCGCTAAGCTGGGAGCCACATTGCTGAAAAAGACCCGCCCTCCAGACGTGGCACCGTTGAAGACTTCAAGCCTGAAGATCACAAACTGCGAGTCTCAAACGAAATGCCAGGCTCGCCCTACCAACAGACACCTCGGGGAGTGCGACAGGGAAGAGTTATCTATAAGGGAACAAGGATGGAGAATGAAGGAGCTTGAGCGGGAGCTGCGGATGCAAAACGAGGTCGCAAATCCGCAAGAGAGTTCGTAATATCGCGAAGTCGGAGATCTGGGGACTGGTCGGGGCTGGGGCTGGCCGCGGCCGAACGAGATCCCGACATGCCATGTTGAAACAAGTCAGGCACGCCAGGGCGAGTCGCGCTCAATCGAAATCCAATCGCAATCGATGTTCGAATGGCAAGCACGTAAATCAATAATAAAACACTGCACCGGCATAACGGTTCAGAGGTCCAAGCGGATTTCTTGGATCGGCGCTGGATCCTCCTCCCCAATCCCCACACTCCTGGCCGCGCCTCATGCGGCTGCCTAAAGGCACATCCAGCGCAAGAGACGCGCCAAGGCAGGGGTGTGGGTAGGGTCCAGGAACCTACTCAAGAGCTCTACGCGGACCTCCGTACAGGTTACGTTCTCCACTGGCGTTGCTCACATCTCCCCGCGAGCCTAGGTCGTTCGGGATGAGCGGGAAGACGTAAAGCAGCAGCCTGGCTGCGTTCTCGCGCACCTGGGGGTTGGCCACCTTCAGGTCGCGCCAGAGCACGGGACCGTATAGTCGACAGAGCAGGTCTGTGGCGGACTCCTCGTGCTTGCGCAGGTGCAGCTCTTCCAGCATCCCTCGGGCGCGGTCCGCGCTCTTGCGCGCACAGCGGATGGCCAAGACGACCCAGTCCTGCACGCAGAGCTCCACCTGCACGCGCGCCCCGCCGGTGGAGTGCTTCCAGGCCTTGAACAGGCCGACCGCGTAAGCCTTCAAGGCCACTTGACGAGTGTACAGCACCTGGTTCTTCACGGTGGCGTGCACCTCCTGGGTGAAGCTGGGGTGGACGGTGTAAAAGAAGGACACCAGGTCGGGCCCGTGGACGGTCCTCATGAAGCTCGGGCTGGCGGCGCAGCGAAGCAGCTGCAGCTTGAGGGACTCGATGGACTCGTGCTCCCAGTCGAGCTCCCCCAGCAAGCCCCGCACCTTGTGGAGCCGGGAGACGTCCGCTCCCGTCATCCTCGTGGTCAGGCACTTGGTTATGAGGAACATGAGCACGCCGCCGTAGTAGTCCTCACAATTGTCGAACCTGCCCGCGCAGATCCTCTCCAGCGCGCTCGCGATCAGCGACTGCGTGCCCGCGTCAGGGATCGTGAGGAGCAGCTCCTGGCCCGAAGGAGGCTCCGCTACCTCTGAAAAGCCACAGGGCCGAAGAAGCGTCCAAGCGGACCCTCCATGGGGCAGCTTACGAGTTCGACCACGGACCCCTTACTGCCCATTGGGCTTCGGCGGACTCGAGCGGTCGTCGGCGGTCCTCTGCGCGAGAGCTGGACGGCTACGTCTGATGAACAAGGGCTCCCCGAGGCAGCAGCAGCAGCATACCAAAAATCTGCCGACCTTGATGTTCGGCTGGCCTCTGGAGGATCTGCCACGCAGGATTGCCCCGCCATTCTCGTAAGGGCCTAGGCCCCGAGCTCGGCTACGAAGGCAGCGCGCGAGGCAAACCAACGTGGCGCGGGCGAAAGGGCCAAGGGCCAAGGCCAAGGCCGGAGCAACTGGCCATGGCCGAAGGTCAAAATCGCAGACCCGACGGACCAAAGCTGCGTTGCGCAGACCTCCGACGTCGTGGCGCTTGCGGCGCGCGGACCCCACAGCTCCAGCTCCTCTCGCTGTGGCGGCCGCCTTTTCCTGCTGTGCTGTTCTTGTTGCGTCCCATGGGGCCCAGAAGAGGGCTCTGAGGCGGACAACGCTGAAGAACTTCCTTCTTCTTTCTCCTCAGACGTTGCAACTTGTTCGTGACGTCAGCGTCCCAGGATCTCGACCCTTGTCCCGCGCCCGCTGTTCACCCGAGTCGACTTGTTGAAGGTCCTAGGGCCGGAAAACCACCTTCAGATGTCACACAAATTTTCAAAGGGGAGCAGCAATTTTTGTTGCGCCGCCTGGACCTGAGAGTTGGCTGTTTCGAGACGTTTGGGACGTGGGCAGATTGTCACTTCGGAAAGCCTGCCCGATATATGTTTTGGACGGACCCTGCCTCTCGGAGGAGGCGGGCCACGGCGTAACGGGGGACATGGCGACCAACATCCCCGACGCTGTAGGCTTTTCCAACGGGCCAGAGGGGGGGGGGGGGACGTTCAGCCTCATGCGGGTGCGTCTCAGCAAGCCCCCTGGGGTGCAATTGTCCACGAGGGCCCCTTCTTCTGGTGGCGAGCCCGGAGGGCACATGGGAGGGGGCAGGCCTTCTCAGCAGGCGGCGGGGCCTGTCGGAGTCCGGAGCAGCCCTGCCGCCACTGCGCTGAGCAGGCCTGCCCCCCTCTCGCTGCCCCCCCTGGTGCGCGCCGCCGATGCTCTCGGGAGGGGCACGACGCTCTGCGGGAATCCTCGTGGCCCGGGGAAGAGAGCTCGCTCGCCATCGCTCGGACGTCCATTCCCTGTGTTTTTTGGTTTCGTGCGTGGCTTTTTCGCGAAATGATCAAGGATGCTCATCGATGGTCCTCGCCGAAGGAAAAATGCACACGTCCGAGCGATGCCAAGCTCGCGGCATGGTGCCCTGGAGGAGCTGTGCTTCTCACAGGCATCTGCTCGTTTCGGCGTGGGCTCTGCAGCTCGCGCGTGCCGGCCGCGTCGCGAGCCGAGCGAAAGGGAGCTCGCCGGGTGGTGAACAGAGATCACGAGCCATGTGGAAGCAGACTTTCTGGAAGATTGCTGGGATTGGGGGGCGAGAGACCGCTCGAGACCGTGGCGTCCTGGCACAACGACGCGGCCTGCGCGAAGGAAGGCGGTAACGCCAGGCACCGCGCTGGGTCCAGCGCCACCTCCGCGAAGGCGCACAGCAGCGCAGCGACGGCCTCGACCGTCCGCCTGTCCTCGAGGGCCCCACTGTTCCACACACGTACACACACACACAAAGCAAAGCCGCCACCCGCGGTGACACGGCCCAACGACAGGCTGGGGCCACGGACGACAGGCTGGGGTTGTCAGGTCTGGATCCAAGAACTCCCGGACCCGCCTCGCGACTAGACGTAAGAGCGACCTTTCGCAGGAGTGACCTCTGGTGCAGGCACAGATGGGCCCCCAGATGGCTGAACACGAAGCAGTAGCAGCTGCTTGCGCGCCCAGGCTTGGTCCCCCCGCGGCCCCCCAAAAGCCGCGCACCAAAGGTCACTCTTACCCCTCCTCCTCCTCCTCCTCCTCCTCCTCCTCCTCCTCCTCCTCCTCCTGGTCCTTCTCCTCCTCCTCCTCCTCCTCCTCCTCCTCCTCCCCTCCCTCCCTCCCTCCCTCACTCCCTCGCTCCCTCCCTCCTCCTCCTCCTCCTCCTGCTCCTCCTCCTCCACACTCCTCCTCCTCCTCCTCCTCCTCCTCCTCCTCCTCCTCCTCCTCCTCCTCCCCCTCCTTTTCCTCTTCCTCCCTCTCCTCCTACGCTCTGCACACCGTGGCCGCCAGGCCTCGAGGGCCCCGTGCGCTCCCTGGGGTTAGCTCCCGGGCCTCGCGCCTCCGACCAACCACGCCTGCAGGTCGCGGCCGCTGGGCCCCCAGGGGGCCCGGTGCTCCCCGGGAGAATCCCCTCTCGCGCTTTCGGCTGGAGACCGCTCGAAGCAAGACAATCGTCGTTTTGGGCGGTCGTTCTCGTGCCTCTGGGTGGGACGCACAGGGACACGCTAATGCTAGATGTCCTCCTTGGAGGCGCGCGTCCGACCCGAACAGACAGCATACCCATCTTGTAGTGCATCGTTTCCCGAGCGGTGTGGACAGAAAGCGCCCGCCACGATGCATATACTATAAAATTTATCGGTGCGCGCGTCGCCCCTGAGAGGGCGACGCACATATAATATAAATATGTTGGGGTGACGCCGACTGGGGGCTCCCGGAAGTCGCAGACTGTTCGGCTACGCGCAAGAGTGACCGTGGATAAGAGTGACCTCTGGTGCGCGGCTCTTTGGGGGCCGCGGGGGGGCCAAAAGTAATTGCGCAGGACGCCTCTGCCGCCTACCGCTCGGCGATCGGGGCACCCCGGTGGGCCCGCACGAAAGGTCACTCCGGCGAAAGCTCACTCTTACGTCTAGTCGAACTGTACACCCAACAGCCGATCCTGGCCAGGCCGATCCTGCGCCTATAGGGTCGGTGTGTACAGTCACCGTTCTGTCTTCTCTCCTCCCCCCTCCTCTCCCAGCGTGGTTCTGAGCTGCGGCGTTAGACATGTTTACCTTCGGCGGCCTTAAGGCGGTTATCGTGCCAACGCATCCTGCTGGATGTACGGCTCGTTGCGTGCGTGGCCAAGGAACGACTCTTCTGGCCACGGCGAGCCTCGGCCACGAACAGGTTCCCCAACCTTGATCTGAGGAACGACCCGAAATCAGAGCACCGCCAGAACTCAAAGTGATCCTCATCTCACCGTCTTGACGGTACGCCCGCCTACATTGGCTGGGAAAGCCATCCTTGGCCTGGGATTGGCCTGGATGGGATCGGCGTGCGCGTGTAGTTGGGTGTTCTCCCGAGACTCGTCTTCACGCCGCTCAGCGCCGAACGCCCCGACAGGATCGAAACGAGGAGGGGTTATGGCCCTCTCAGCGCCATCCGGAGGGGGGAGGAAGGATGAGCAGGAGAAGCAGCAGGGAGGAGGCGGTGGCAGAATCTCTCCACCCCCATCATCCCAGCTCCTTCTCCTCCTCCCCTTCGTTACGAGCGGTGAACATCTCCATACACACGCCCTCGCGGTCTGGATTCGTCGGCGCGATCCCGTGGATACGCGGTCGCACGAATGCGTTCATCGCGGGGCACCCGCGAGCAAGAACGCCCTGTGTCCGCGGGGTCTCGGCCCAGGGGCCCAGCCCGCGAGACTGAGGATACGAAGATGTTTCCCGCCCGCGACCTCCCTCGTCCCTGCGGATGGCCCCGGGGGTGCCCGGGGGCGCCCTGAGACATCTCATGCGGGCCACCAGGGATGCAGAGGACTATGCTAGGGGAAGAAAAAATGGCATGAACATAAAAACTCGGAGGTCCGCGCGGATTTCTCGGATCGGCGCTGGGGCCCCACCGGCGGCGCCTCCGGCGCCGCCCCTGGCGCGCTCCGCGCGCCAGGGAGCGGGGTCCAGCGCCGATCCGAGAAATCCGCGCGGACCTCCGAGTTTTTATGTTTATGTCACTTTTTGCTCTCCTATATGAGATCTGTGTGGGTCAGGTGTGCTGGGAGGCCTGTTGCTTTACGCGCCCCCTGCATCATCCTCCTTCTCTGGCTCCTCCTGCTCCTCGAGCCCTCGACCTCTGTTCCCAGACCCCCGACGTCGTGCACTTTTCGCAGCGCGGACCCCTGGAGGTCTCGACCCACCCTTTCCGCGGGGCCAGCTCTTCGTCCGGAGTTGTTTTGGATTGCCCCATGGCCCGGCGAAAGTCCCTGGAGGCCAAGCACGGCAGAACACCGCCCGCCGTGATGCGAGTCATGATGCGAAGGGGACCCTGGGCGATCTGCTCCTCGAAAGTGGGCATCGCGTAACCAACCCCTGTGCCCACTGGCGTGGCCTGGGCCCCACCGGCCGGTTTGCCCCCCCTGCTATGGGGATATAGGCTGTGTCCATTCGGGTTTCGAGGCTGAGATCGTCGGGCTCGGGATGGGGATGGGGATGAGGGGTCGGTTGAACCATACTGAGGAGGGGAGGTGGAGCTAGTGCTGGAGAGGATGAGCGCAGACGGAGAGCAGGGGCCCATCAGTGGAGCCTCGGCCGCGGGCGCACCGCCCGCCACAAAGAGAGCGGGCTGCTGCAGCCGGTCGCCCGCCAGGGACAGCACGCGCCGCCAGAAGGCCTCGTGGGCGTCCGGGGTGAGCGCCGCGAGGAGCTCCTCGCGGGCGAGGTCCGGCAGAGGGTCCCTCGTCCCTCCCTCTCGTTTTTGCTCCACTCCTCCTTCTCCTCTTCCTCCTCCTCCTTATCCTCCTACCTCCTCCTCCTCCTCCTCCTTCTCCTCCTTATATCCTCCTCCTCCTCCTCATCCTACTCCTCGTCCTCTCATCCTCCTCCATCCGCTTCCTCCTCCTCCTCCTCTTCCTCCTCCTCCTCCTCCTCCTCCTCCTCAGCACCATCATCATCATCGTCCTCCTCATCATTATCCTCCTCCTCCTCTGTTCCTTGCACTTCTGCCTTCTGCTTCCCATCCTCCATCATCCTCCGTTGCTCTCTTCTGCTCCTCTTTCTCTTCAACCATCATTATCTTCCTCCTCCTCCTCCTGCACCTCCTCCTCCTCCTCCTCCTCCTCCTCCTCCTCGTGCTCCCCCTCCTGCTGCTCCTCCTGCTCCTGCTCCTGCTCCTGCTCCTGCTCCTGCTCCTTCTCCCGCTCCTGCTCCTGCTCCGGCTCCTCCTCTTCCTCCTCCTTCTCCTCCTCCTCCTCCTCCTCCACTCCTTGTTCCTTGCTATCCTTCTCCTCCTCCTCCTCGTCCTCCTCGTCCTCGGCTCTCCTGCTTCCCTCTTCAAGCTCCTCCCCTAAAGCAAAATATTGTTGTCCCTCTCGCTTTGCGCTGTATTCAAGTATGTACACCTACAAACACACACACACACACACGCACACACACATGTGTGTACACATACATGCACCTTAACCACACTCTGTGTACTAGCCGATCTGTATCAACACAAACACATACCAGTCGCACCGCAAGACGTGTCCGTAGGCCAGCCTGGGCGTTTCGCTTGAGCCTGCCTTACAAATTACGATGATGGACCTTGCGAATCCAATAGTAACAAGGATGAGGGCCAAGCCGTTTCAGAATGTGGTTCTCGTTTCAACGCCGCGTACATTGGTTTACCACGTTTCAAGCATCTTCAAGGATGGAGGACTTGTGGTTCTCAAAATGCACCTGCCGCCCCAATGCCGCGCACATGTTTCGGAACATCTGGCAACAACGCAAGGATTGAGGACGGCTCGCTTTCACAATGCGGCTTTCGCCTCAGCACCGCGCGCAGTCGCTCTAACAGTCTGAAGCTGTGCTACAAGAACGGGCGCAGGCTCGTTTTCAAACTGCGCCTCTCGCCTAAGACATCCCCCACGAAGTCGTACGACCTGGAATTCCAGTGTGCGTAAGAGGTGCTCGAATGGAGGGCGGTGCCTTGTCAATGTTGAGCACGCACTAAAGACTTCTTCGGGCTTCGGAACCCGACGGTTGAGTTAGTGTAACAATCCCGCGGCTGGAGGCCGATCTTGTTCACAAAAGATGGCCGCTGGACGCTCCCATGAATGCTACAACTCGACATCATTGCGTGCACTCTAGCTGGGACGTTGACTTGAAATTCTTTATACAGCGGAGCCCCGTCTAAGTGGCAGTTCCACCAGGCGCTGGTCATTCAAGGGGTCCCTTCTGGCAGTGGACCAGAAGACTTGTTGGGACTTGTGGGAAGACTCGGAGCGGCGGCGGGAAATCATAACACAACAACTGTACACGTAAACAACAACTGTTGGACCTCCGCGCAAATGTCTTGGATCGGCGCAGCCAGGGGGCCCAGCGCAGGTTCCGAACAACGGCGCGGGTTACCCAAAATTCCTGTTTACCTCTCACGGCGGCTTTTCTTTCCAGTGTAATGCATCATCGCTGATGCCTCCTGGGTTTCCCCTGGACCTCCTGCTCATCCTCCTCCCTCCTGCTCTGCTCCTCTTCCCCTTCTCCTCCTCCTCCTCCACCTCCTCCTCCTCCTCCACCTCCTCCTCCTCCCCCTCACTCCTCCGTCCTCTTCGCCCTCCATCCCGCGCCTACTCCTCCTTCTCTTCCCCTTCCCCCCCCTCCCCCTCCCCCTCCTCCACCTTCCCTACCTCCTCCTCCTCCCCTCCTCCTCCGCCTCCTCCTCCTCCTCCTAACTCAATCCCCTGCCTCGTCATGCTCCTTCCATCCCTCCCCCTCCTCCTTTGTCCTCCTCTTCTCCTCTCCTCCTCCTCCTCCTCCTCCTCCTCCTCCTCATCATCATCATCATCATCATCATCCTCCAATTCCTGCTCTTCCTCCACCTCCTCCGCCTACTCCTCCTACTCCCTCCACATCCCTGCCCCTCTCCCCTCTTTGCACGCGGCCACTAGCGGGTCGCCGAAGCGCGCTGGCCAGCAACCAAACTTTGCGGGTCTGCCAGTCAGATCCTCCTCCTCCTCCTCCTCTTCCTCTTCCTCCTCTTCCTCCTCCTCCTCCTCCTCCTCCTCCTCCTCCTCCCCATCATCATCATCATCATCATCATCATCATCATCATCATCATCATCATCATCATCATCATCATCATCATCATCAT